ACGGGTTTTGTTAGATGATCGAGTATACACGAAAATCATGCACCCGCTGCAGATGTCTGCTTTGGGCCACGTTAACCGATTTCCATAATTCTTATTTTAAAGGAAAGATGTTACCTCACACGTGGTCCCATACTAATTTGGTTTGGTTGGATCATGTAGAAATCAATTTGTATATGAGAATTACTTTAATTACTTTTTTTATTCTAAATTTATTAAAAAAAAAAAATAAAAGGCTTTTTTGAATCTCTTTCGTTTGAATGCCACTTTGTAATATTTCATTAGTTAAGTTGGAATTTTGCGGGTGGGAACTCTCAAAAATATTTTTTAAATTCAGATTTCCTAAACCTCGTTCGTTTTAAATCGTAAATCGTATTGTTTTATTGTCTCTTCGGCATTTTGAGAAGTATTTCAATTAAGGTTGTAGGCCATACAAGTTGCGAGGTTATTCCACCTTTCAGTGTCAATCTGCGGACTTTTTTCGCTTATAGGCAGCTTACCACGTCTACAGAAATATCCGGAATATCCTTGAAACAAACTCCTCATTTGATCGTCGAGAAAGTTTCAGGAACAAAGGATTTTGTATATATTTGGCATCGTTTCTCTTTATCCGCCAATTTAAGACATTATGTATCCATTGAAGCAAAAACTCTGTTTGGTATCTTTTACTTTACATAGGTTATTATTATTTCTTATTTTTTTATGTTTCACACACAATTTTGCTGCAATTAATTCTTAAAGGATTTTTCCCTAAATCGTAAACGAACAATAGAAGAGAGTGGAAATATTTAACATCAAAATGTGTTAATTAAACTTAGAAAATATTAAAAGGCTAGATATTGGAGAAAAGTCAAGAGGCTTACTTAACTGTTTGTTCTTAGAAAACTAAATGACTTAAACTTGAAAGAACAACTTTTTTTGTAACATAACAGCGTCAGAGGCGAGACGTTCTAGTAAACTCTAGCTAAACATGTATTTATGTACATAGTTTCATATCTCTCGGCGCACTATGCTCGATGTCCTTCTTTGCTTGTTCGTTAACTAAAGCCACCGATATCGAAGTAAAACAAAAGCTGAATAAAATAAAATAAAATAAAATACTTGCACAGACTACGTACATTAAAAAAACCCTTTATTATTGAATATTTTTCGAGCACTGCAGCAATTTATTTTCACTGCCGTTCGTGGTGGCAGCCATTGTGGGCGTTGCAGCTGCATTGCTGTTGCCGCAAGCGCGATGCTGCCGAAAAATGGTGCAGAGTGAAAATGTCTGGAGACTTAATGGTTGATTTTAGTACCAAGTTTCTCTAAAATATTTTCGCTCCCTCTGGTTTTCATGTTATTTGATTTATTTTATAAACAGCGCTTCCGGTATTTTCACACATCTCGCCTTAGCAAAATGTTCCATTGTTCAGCGTGTGAAAACTGTTGTTCCTGTACCTTCTTTGTGCTACACATTTATGGGTAAGTATGCATTCTTTTAAAAGCAGCAAGTAGATACTTATTTCTATTTTATTATAATTTGTAGTTTGTTGGATTTTTAATGCCCACATATGCATACACACTCACATTCTTATTGTTTTTATATTCAATGCATTAAAGTCGACATCAATGGCACCACCGCCTTTTTAGCCCTTTTCCAAGCATGCCGCTGGCGTCAAAGGAAACCAAGTGCTTTATGCCGTCGTTATTTCTTATTCGCCGTTTTATTGTAGCAGTGCCAGTTGCTTGAGAGTGCAGCTATAAGAGTGCAACTTTGAGTGCATTGCTCGTAAAATATGTTTATGTTCATATGTAGTAGTATCGGAATGGTAGCACTAACGAAATGCTTGTTTATAAATGCAACTTTATTATTGCTCACATTATAAAGCTCTTTGACACACTATGCATGAGGACTGGGTAGTTTTTTTATGAGGAGCCGCATTTTATTTTTTGAGTTTCGTTTAAGTATCAAAAGACTGTACGTATGTACAGCGTGAAAAATAATAACTGCCGCGCTTAGTTTTTCAGATAACAATGTTGTAAGGTCTATTTCGATTAACTACACTGTACAGCATTTGGCTGGGTATTGGACCAAACCTACTCCTTTTAAGAGATTGAGTCATAATTAAAAAAGTTATTTCTCCGTTTTTCGAATTTAGCCTCCGAAATCGAGTTAGGGTCTTCGAAGTTCGATATTGGAACTTTGGTAAAAGGAATATTCTAAATATTGTATGTAAACAACAAAAAAATCTAAAAATATGGGCGTGGTCCGCCTTTTGCTGTTATTTCAACGGTATATAACTTTTTTTGTGCAAACTTATATCACAGGCACTAAGAGGGTCAAAGGTCAGATCTTCGAAAAATTAAAAAACCTTTATTTCAAAAAAAAATTTAAACTGATTTTTAAGTGTTATAAGGGACCTTTAATATAAGTTTGCACAAAAAATTTATATACCATTTAAATAAGAGAAAAAGGTGGAACGTGCCCATATTTTTACTTTTTGAGTTGTTTATGTACAATAATTAAAAGTATTTTCTTTTACCAAAGGTCCAATCTCGAACTTCGAAGACCCATATCTCGGAAAATGACTTCTTAAATTATGACGCAAACTTTTGGTTTGGTTCAGTACCCAGAAAAAAGGTCGACTATGCCGTATAGTGTTAATTATTCATTCATAAAAAAATTTACGATTGAGTTCGTTAGATATTTCGTCCCAAATTTTTGTTAAACGCTTTTTGAAATTATCCACGGTAATTTTATTTATGTTCCCTAGTTTACCTAGCATACCATTTAAACTCTCTAATTCGATGGGTTTAAGTTTAAAGAACAATAAGACCAACCTTCCACTGAGATAAAACCTGGAAATAATTTTTTTCCACCAAATTTTTGGATTTATCGCTTTAATTGTCGGGAAAAATGTTTGTTGAAAACAGATTGTCCCCTCCCAGACATTTTCACTGCAACAGGATCAGATGGCATTTAAATACATAGGTTAGATCGGATTAGATTAATCTAGACGGCGTTGAGCCGCACATAGACCGGTAGGTCCTTAGCGTCACAAAGTATGTCAACGTTTTTTGCGAATTTAAGTAGAAATTTCAGCCCTACTTTTGAGATGTCCTCTAACTTCTCGAATTGGTAGGCTCACAAGCATTGTACTCGTGTCGTTAACGAAGATGCTCCAAGGCTTCTCTGGTCTCCCGCTCACGACACTTCCTGCACCTGTCCAGGCTATTGGTACCCATTTTTACTGCATGAGCAGCCACTTGGTATAGTAGTGATGAGATTTTCGTGATTCTCGGGACTAAATCAAGATTAAGCACTCTCTAGAAATTGTTATCAGAATCTTGGTGAACACCTTCGAAGCTTTCTAAAGTAAGATTGCTAATTTATCCTCAATGACCGGTGTTTTATCCACCTCCTACAGCTACCTTTCCCTCGTTTTACCTAAGTAAAAATTCTAGAACTTATAGTTTAAAACAAAAATAAGCATTTATCGGTTTTAACCCTACAGCCTATGGCTAATCACACATACGAGGGTTATTTAGTAAGTACCCAGATGTAATTTTCCGAATGTTTTATTTAAGAAAAAAGTATCCATACAGATTGCCTCTCGTAGGTTATAGATTCGAGGCTAAATTAAAGGTTTTCCGCCATATAAACACTATTTTTGCTCTGAAAAATATGCTTAATAGCAGGCTACTTGAGGAAACAGTACTAAAAAATTATTATAAATATAGTTTTAAACACCTATATGCATCACCACCATATTGAGTTTAATGGCTATATCTTCATTATTGAAGAAACTAGAGCCATTTAAAGTCAAAACAGATGCCCAGATTAGCCCAGAGATATGCCGAATACCAGGTGCTTTTAAATTAAAAAATGAGCCATTGAATAAATTAATGCAAATCTGTTTCTCGATTCAAATACGAAAGAAGAACAATTTTTAATTAATTGAAAGCAGTTGCCAACACAACAAATACCATTCACTGCACAACAGAAAACCTAACCTTGAACTTCAGGGCACTTTGACATTCTTAATAACGCCGCTATTTATTCGACGTCATAAAAGTCCCACCACCGCCGACCGACGTTTCAGCAAATTAATGAGCAATCATTTAGAAATAAAATGTCTCTGTTGGCATTCGAGAGCGCTGAAGCGATTAGCAGCTGCTCAGAAAGTGCACAAGTGGAATAAACTGTTATGAAAACAAAACGAAAGTAACAACAGCAACAACCCCCGCATAACTGTTTGCGCCATAGCCACGTCGCAGAAATTTTAAAGTTTTACGTTATCGAGCTAATTGATTTTTTCTCCTGTCCACTGGTATTGACAGCCTTGGAACTCGCTGGCTGATTACTGAAGCTTACTAAATTGTGCGCGGCCACGATTTCCGTTTGAATATTCGACAATTAACGTTTTAATCAGGGATTTGCGTAATTTTAATTGAGATTTAATTTTTTTTTTTTTGATTTTACAAAGAAATTCCTGCTTCTTAAGTGCTTTCAAACAGAAAATCGGTTTTAAGTTTAGCTCACGGGCTGTATGCTTCATTGCCACGGAACGTTTACTCAAAAAGGATAAACGGCGAGCCTTTTAGGCGGCTCAAGAGCATGCTTCTCGAAGAGATATTAGCGTCAGCACTAACTAATAATAGCCATGCATAGGCAGTACTCATTTTGCTCAACCAAGCGCAAATTCCAACCTCTTCTACTCTAACAACTTCAACACACTTTTCGTCAATTTGCCTCTCTTTCGCTTTTATGCTGCTGCTTTTCTCTTCCAATAGAATTACGCGCTTCATCAATTCTGGCAGCCGTCAATGCCAATGCCAATGTTTCTATTCACGCACACTTCCACTGACATCCGCTTTTGCCCTAGTCCTTCCTAATCTGCCTACACGCCCGTAGGCTGCGCATCCTCTTTTGCTTGGCAGCAATATTTGCCATTTTGCGTAGCATCGTCCTTTTTATGAGCTTTGAATGACTTTTGGATGCGTCGGTCGCACGCGCTTACTCCGTCCGCTGTTCGCTAGAATGCTTACTGTGCGCCATATAGCTCGTTTGCAGGCAGTAACGTAAAGACTTTGATGCTATGTGCTACAAACGAAGACAATTTTTAAAGATTCACAAAATTGAATACAGTGGGTTATGGGAGAGCATGTATTAGACTCTTTAAATATTTAAAAAAGGAAACATTTCCGGCTTTAAGTTGGGGCAAATTGAATTCAAGACTAATTAGTTGACTGAGGAGATGAAAAGAGATCAATTAGCGCAAAGTTTGAGGTTAGGGAATAAATAAATTTTTGAGTACTAGGGGACATACTCGAAAGGATGGAAGCTAATTTAAAAAGAGATAAGTACATGAGATTGGGGGTGAGGATGTAGTTGAAGAAGAAAACCAATTGAATATCGGATGAAGTGGATATAATAAGAATATTAATATGAAAATAATGATGAGAATTTAAAATGAAAGAAAAGGTTAACAGATATAGATATATTAACATGGAAAAAGATAGAAAGGAATATATGAATAAATATAGATATAAAGGTTAAGACGGAGATTTAGAAGAAGATAAAGATGACTATAGAGAAATAGAGTTATATAGATAAGGTAGAGAGGAAGAAATATAGATAGAGGTATATATATTTACATAGAACTATAACCAGATAAATAAAGTCTTCGGGTCAAAATGTGACCCGATATGAACAGCCCAGTATTTTTATAATGTCGAGTGTAATATTTTGCTCAATAATGATGTTGACAATTTTTCTATTTCCCTTGACACCAGTCAATTGGTCTCCTTCCCCCTTATTGCTCTTTATAAATCTTTTATATCGGGGAATCCGCAGATTATTGTTCTATATTTAAACGTGAAATGTTGTCGAATTATATACAAATACATACTTCTTTCATGTTTACTGCAATGTTGTTGCAGTACTGTAATGTTGTTGCAGTAGTAAAGTAAATTCGTATACAACAAAGTTTGAACGTTGAGACAAATGGCTTAGAGGAGAATAAAGGCTAGTGACATTGATGCCATAGTGAATGAACTATGAGAGGAGGAGAAATATTTTTCGGCAAATAAAGATAACAGAGAATATGCTAAGCTATCTTATAATTCAAATGAAAGTTACATCTACTAAATAATAGTGGCTTCAACGAAAATGTTTTTCTAAACGCTGACATTTCTTATAAAAAAATTAAAAGTGATTTATTTCATATACACAGATAAGTACATAGGACGAAAAAGGGACTCTCAAAATTTTGAGCAAAAGTGAGCTCCTCAAAACTTTAAATAAAAGGGTATATGGGGAACAACTAGAGCAATGAAAAATACGTGTTTTATTTTTATTCTATTAAGTTAAACCGGTGCTTTTCACTTGAAAATAGGCAATAGGTTCTTACCAAGGATTATCTCCGAGGATAGTACACTTAAGATGTAAGGCAATGCCTATTAAATTACATTCCATGGATTCTCGGTATATAGAAACAATAGTACCCTGAAGTCTACAAAGGATACGGATATTTGAAAGGAGAGTAGGGTGGTAATTTTTCTCACCTGCACTGGAGTTGGACACATACTTTCGCTATTCCCATTGCCCATTGTATATCAGGCGGATTATCAGGTAAAGGCCTAGGGAAAGGCTTTAGACTCACACCTAGATAATGCAAATACGCATAGTAGGTCTTTCAATAAATTTCCGTAAATGCTGCTTCATGAATAGAAGTTAATTTTTTCACCTTCATTTTTTGTTTAACAAATTTGTTTTTAAAATAAATTTGTAAAAATGTCTACACAAGTATAACTAGTATAACACTACCTAAAGATGAAAAGGTGCCAAGTCCTCTTTTTTCAAAATTTTATTTTTTAACACAGAATGATAGATAATGCCAAACTACATCGATTTTTCGTCTCTCCTGAATAATTTCAAAAAATGTAATTGGCACCTTTTCAACTTTAGGTAACGATAAGTTAGTTATAATGCATAATTGAGGCGCAACAAATTAACACACGTGTCAATATACTCCCGAAATTAGGGACCAAATATAGTAAAAAAGCGCTTTTGGTTTTTCTATCCGACGTCAGTCTATTTTTTTAAAGTACTCTAAAGCTTCCAGGATATGAAAAATTCAAAAACGTATTTAAAAGATTCAGTGCGATTTAGAATATTTTGCATCCAGAAGCATCTTCCGTAGTCTTGATACAGTTTCAAACTAACTACATCACTGTCCACAACGTAGAACGTAAACACGTGTTGCTTTATGTTCTATTTTTAACAGTCATTCATACTGCCTTACATATCAGTGAATTTCAATTTAATAGTACTGCAAAGCATTCGGCGAGAGATTTCGGCACATTTCATTCCAACTTCTATTTGGTTTTCTTTTTCTGCTACTTAGAATCCTCAAAAAAGCATAACTTTTTTTTCTAGTTTCTATTCATAAATATTTAGATTTTGATTGTTTTTTCGCTTCCTTACAGCGCACTTCATTTCCTCGTTCCATTTTCTTAAAAGTTTCTTACTCTTCATTCTTTACAGCCACACTTCAGGCTGACAGGCTTTTGAAGGCTCGTCAATCAGCAGAAGATAAATGCAGCTTTACGCCTGACAACTGTATGGTATTATCGATTACCATTTACTCGACGATGTAAAATGTGGATGAGGACTATAAGCAAACTCCATGAATTGACTGGCTGCCTGCCTGCCTGCCGCCTGCTGCCTCTCAGTGATATTTGATTTGATGGTTTTTTATTGCGACAAATATGTGGCGAAATCGGTACAAAGAGAGTAGCGTTTAGCATACCTAAATATAAATGGTTATTCATATACGTATGTATGTGCGAACATGTGTGTAAAATACATACGCAAATATGTAGATGTGCTGGCAGCTGAATTCTGAACTGCGCATTTCACGACTTTACTTGACTTGAATTGTTTTTTCCAAAGGAAGCGGCAGTCACAGGAAGCGGTGGAGGCTGTGACAGCGGTTGTGGCATATGTCATAACTTTGTTATATTTTGTACGGCATTTGTGCGTGGCTATTTGTATGTTTATTATTGCCGCTTGTTATCGTAAGTATGTATGTGTGTTCTTGTGAGTACAATTTTTTATCGCGCTGAGCCATTAAAAATGTAAAGTGATAGCGATGTGCGCAAATAGGCATACATATGCATATGTATATGTATATGAGTACATACATATTTACATCTTGCATAATACACTTTTTTATTAAATTAATTTCCCTTCCTTCAAGCTATAAAAATTATTCTTACAATTTAATTAGTGAAGGAAAATTTTGATAGGCAGTGTTATGCGCGTACAAAATAAATAAAAAAAAACTCGAATAATTTTGACAAAAAATCATTTATACCTGGATTTTTTCTAGAGGGATTAACTTAGTGCCCAAAAATAAATCTATTATGTACTTCAAGTTCTATAAATTTATTTTATTTACTCTTGATTTGATACATCTAATAATAATATTTTGGCGCTTACACTTTTGCCAATTGTTTGGCTGAACTTATCCTCCAATTTGTTATGTGTTCCTTGCTGTTGTTACACAAATGGAGAGACCGACAGTTTTTCACCGTCTCCGAACGGCTAATGGATTTTATGAGAAACTGTTTTTCTTGGCAGAAATATGCTCAGAGTTTTGCCATTGCACTGAGCGAGTGCAGGACATAAACTTATTCAAATGAAAAATCACCAACCAATAGTTTGGTTAATGTAAACAAAATTGTGGTTAAAATTACCAAATTTAAACTTGAAAAGTAATCAACGTGATTTTTGGTTAAAATTAATAATGCGTTGGTTGATATTTTCAACAATGATTTGGTAATATTAACCACAATTTTGTTTACCTTAACCAAACTATTGGTTGGTGATTTTTCGTTTGAATAAGTTTATGTCCTGCACTTCACAAATGCTCTTTCATAATTCGGATATACAAAACCAAATTTTTTTTATTATCATTTGAACATGTGGCCTCTGACGGGATTAAACAACAGCAAGCATCTCTATAAATGTCTTCAAATTTTCAACTTGAATCAATTTTCTTCGTCGTTTGATTTGGTCTTGCACTTCAGAGAGGCGTGAAATCAATCCATAACTTGGTTGAAAAAACCATTATGTTTTTGGCTCAGTGTATGGATCACTGAAGACAAATATTGCAAAAACTTATGTAAATGGATTGTGTCTTTCAAGTGTAAATACAACACACTTTAAAACCACCAAAAATGGAGATAAGCTGGAATACAATCCCTTCAAGGTTTAACTACCACGCGTGTATATTAGCATCAGGCCTTAAACGGCTTTAAAACTATCCATTTTGAATTCTACACAACTAAGAATTCCATTTGAAGACTTTCTCTAGCTCCAATTCTTTAAATAGTTAAAGGCGCATTAGTATCCAAAAAACACTAAGCAATGGCCATATATTGATATTTAAATACCTTGAGCTATTTAAGCATTTTAAAAATCATAGAAAATATTAAAACACTATAAAATGGACTCTAAAAGTCTCTCAGGTGAGTGATTCCGTAATCAGTATCGCTTTTGTTGCGGTATGATATGAATATTTTTACGTCAAAAAAAAAGTGCGATAGCGATCCGAAACTAGTCGCTAACTGGTTACCGAATCCCCCCAGATCTTTAGAGTTATGCAATGTTGCTATGCCGAAAACCGTACTTCCTCTTAGCGAGTGGTTAGGTTAGAAAATAATGAGGCATGTTCATAGTCATAATAAAGTCGAGAATAAAGTTAGTCTTGAATATTTATCGAAAAAGCTGCAAAAGCTGAAAGAAATGTCCAATAAATCTGAGTGGTAAAAATAAATTTATAAAAAAAAAAAAGTTTACAGCGATTTGAATACTCCATTTTTACTCGACCAAAAATTGATGTTAGACACTAATGTGCGCATACGCCATGGTCGCTAAAGCATGCAAGCTCTTTAGGTTGGCGGGCAAACCTTGGATAAATATTCCCGGTGGGACATTTAACCTTTTATTTGTGTGCCATACGTATTAAAAAATGTTTATACAAAATTCAACATCAAGTGCTCAAGTGATTGATTAACTCCTGCCTTCCTTCGATACTCGTATTTTAGTTATTCAGCGATTCAGTCTGATTATCGTGCATTATTATATCGAAATCCAATATTCACAAGTTTCAATTGTACCTTCATAACACATACTATAATCAAATATTCTATATACATGTGTATGTACAGCTAATTCTTCATTTATTCTAAAATGATGTTGGTAAATAAATATGTAAATCCACTTACCGTACTTAGATTTGTGATTTTATCCAACTCCACCGCTGTGCTGCCACGATGATGATGCAAATGTGCCAAATGATGTGTTGTCAACATGTTGCTTAGCGCGTTTTGTTGCTAGAGTGCTTTTCGAGCAGCAGCAACACCAGCAGCCAACAGATGTTTGATTTATGTACATACTTTATATATGGGTATATATTTGCGTAATCGACTCAATTCACTTGCACTTTTTATATTTACTTACTCTGCTTTCTATTATTCTAACTAAACTCATCAAATATCAAATATGATTATCACAATAAAGAATTCCAAAGTTTATTTGCGCAAAAATAATTTTTTTTTTAAATCTCACTGCCAAAATATATGCCATTGCACTTCCTTCCAACGCTGCATAGAATTCGCGAACAAGCAGCATATGACACACATAAATATACTGTAAATAAATTCAAGTTGGTTTGTTAGTAAATACCGAAATACATGCATTGATAAGTGCGTAATATATAAGCTATGTACGTATATTTCGATTGAAGCAAAATGTGTGTGCTTTTGTTTGAATTATTTGCGGTGATATGTCCACAACTGCCGAGTGCACTTGATGATACATACGCAAACACATACACACACACAACGCTTACAAATGCATTGACAATTACATAGCGGAATGCGGTTGTATTACTGGCAGTCAACAATTAATGGTTTCTTGTCAACCGCAATGTCCTGAGGCACTAACACACCCTCACATGTCCGTTCTTATATGAATTCACTGCATTTTGCTTGTCACTGCGGTTATACTCGTATATGTATTTATGCTCATGTATGAATAGTTGTCAAAGTGTTTTGCTCATTTGAGTGCTGACTTGCTTTTGCTTTTGCCAAGCTAGGGATGTCGCAAAAACATCGATGTATCGAAAATTTTCCACTCGCTCTATAAATAGACATCGACGCATCGATGTTTTCTGTAAACTGGCATCTCAAGTACAACGTACCGTCAAACATCGCTTTGTCTGAAATTCAAAGAAAGCAAGATGCAGTTTTATAGCTCATAAAATTTTGGCATAATAAAGTGCAAGTTTCAATTTCTTTGATTTGTAATCTTTTTTCTTATGCTGACTTGCACTTTGTTAGACTAAAATTTGATTTGATTTGATTTATTGATAATTTTTAAGGAATTTTCATCTGTTTTTCCAGTGCTCTGTGTTCGTTCAACGAGGTGAGCGACATTTCATCGACGGGGAATCATTCCTCCCAAATCCCAATGAAAATTTAAGTTTGAGATACTTGGGTCCAACTGGTAACAATAGTCAAAAACAAATATTTCAATTACAATGTAAAATGCCACGGTAAACAAACTTTGACTGTTTAGCAGAAAAAATATAGTAAAAAAAAAATTGGATTGATCGGACCCAAGGCAAGTAAGAAAATAAGATTCAAAATTAAAAAGGTAAATTTTGGCCCTAAGAACTAATGAGGGTTGATATATGTTTTAGTTCGAAATAATGTAATAAGAGAACAGCATAAAAACAGCCAAAAAATAAATAGTTAAACAAAAATTATTATTTTAGTTTAAAGTAATGTTTCCGAAACAACTTCAAAATTAATTTTTTTCTTTAAGGTTGCAATTTAACTGAGCTTAAGCTTTGTTTCATAAAAGAGAATCAGCATAAAAAATAAAAAAGTCTATTTTTTAACAAAAAAAAATATTTAAAAATAAATAACAAAAAATGTATTAAAACTACTAAAAAGCACAGAAAATACAAAAATACATAAAAAAGATTTGCATTTGCTAAATTAACGTCCTTCAACTAATCCATGCACATTTTCAATTCAGTGGCGAATAAATTTTAAAAGGTATCGCAATTTTTATTATTTTACATTTTATTGCAATTAGTTAAGAATAGAAACAAAATTTTAGCTGAAAACTAGATTTTTTTCACCGAAGAAGAAAAACCGTTTTTGTACCAAAAATAGCACTTAATTACTCCTTTCCCTGACTTTGTACGATATATCGTGCAAATGTCAATGTGCCATAGACCGTGCCCAGACGCTCCATTTTAATTTATTTTTCAACTTTACTATTATTTTCGACAAAATAATCGAGAAAAATTGAGTTTTTGGATGACCCGTTTAGAAAATGGTGACAAAGCGTCAAGGACGCCTGCCATCGAGCAGCTGAAAAAAGTTGGTGGGTTGAGTTGGTTACTTCATTCTGTTTCTCACTCTATAATTCCTCTAAGTAATTTGGTAAGCAGCCCGCAATTCAGTATGTACTTAATATTCATAGCTGCAAGGTTTTTTAAATGCATTCATAATATAGCCGTGCTGTTTTCATTCTACATACTTGCCATAATGACCCCAATCAAAACACATATTTAACTAACAAATAGTATAATGTGCATTAAATTAAACTACCTCGTTTCATTACCATTTACAACTGCATACACACATATGACCGAGGTGCGCATAAAAGCAAATTTGCACACACGTGCTACCGCATGCCTGCACTTGCTGGCTGCTGTAAAATCATATGAGCTTGGCATTTATATGAAAATTAGCTCATTAAAATTTCCAGCACATATTAGCCACCGCATATGAATATAAATTGAAGAAAAGAAAGTGATTACTTTTGTATATACTTATAACAGGAAAGCTGCCAACGTAATCTGGTTATTAAATATACCTATGTACATACTCTATTTACATATGTGCGTATGTAGTTATTAGGATTCCATGTATATGAGCGTCGGTTAATTATGTTGAGTTGTATTAATTCATTTGTATGTTTATAAATTAACTACGACTGTAGGTGCAGTTGGAAATATGAATGGAGCAATTAAAAATAAAGAACTAAATTATGGTTGCTCATACGCAGTGTTGGCCTTTTAGAGGAAAATAAAACTTTGTTGGTATGCTTTGGCATATAGTCATATCTTGTTGCTATAATTACGAAATTGAGCTCAGTTGAGATTGAAGCTGTCTCGTGATAGATTATGACTCTATATATTGCGTATCTGTTCAGATTCACTTATGAAAGATCCCAGGAGTTGCGAATTAGGTATAAAGCTGGGAAATTCAAAGACGTTTTTTTTCGAGCTTATGGTTTCTGATCCTATGCAGTTGAAGATGTAGAAAATAACTCTCCAACTGGAATCAGTCGAGTCCTTTATACCACCTAGACTTGCTTTGTTAAGATTTTTCCTTGTGTTGATAAATACAAATAAATATTTGGCACTGCTTAGCCGAGTTTCTCCTCCAATTTGTGTTGGGCGCCATGATGTCGTCCGCCAAAGAAGAGGACCTACAGTTTTACCCCTCTTTCGAAAGGCAAATAGTATTTGATGAGAAGCTTTTGTTATGACAGAAACGCAATCGAAAGTTTGCAATTGCCTGCCGAGGGCGTTTTAGAGAAATCTTTTTTTCTTGATGTTGTCGGTAGTTATGTATTAGGGAAGCAAATCCGAGCATAGATAAGACGGCTTTGGGAGACTCAAGGGAAACTATTTAACGCAAAATTCTATGACAATTATCGCTTGGGTGCGAGGTGTTTGGGTCTTGCATCAAAGCTAGAAGTAGTTGAAGTGCCAAAAAGAGTACTGGACGTTTGCAATTAATATAGGACTGCATGAAAGTTATAATATTCGAACTCAAAATGTGTTTTGCTATAAAACTGATTTTAATTACAGACAAGTCGTAGGGTAATTATGTGTAGTTAGGGATGTAAAGATATCCTTATAAGTTCAAATTAACATTATAAAACTTTTATGCAAAGCTTCCGCCAAAATTTTCGTTTTTTAACTCATTTCTTATTTTCATGTAAGTAAATATTTATATTTATGCATATGAATAAATGGCTATATGAATAGAGGTAGTGATTTACACGTACTTCTTTAAGTTAAAATATTCTTTATTTGATTCTAAGTTTCTTATACTTTTTACCCATTTAACCAATCGAAATATTTAAATATGTTGTGCTAAAAAAACGCAAATTTAAAAAATCACCAACGGAAACGTGTCAAGTAGGTTTTAACACAAGAGACTTGGTGAAATTTATTTCACTTTTGCTTGCTGAAAGTGGCAGAATAAACGCCAAGAAAAAGTGATATAGAGAAGCGAATAAAAGGAGGAGTGAAGAAAGCGCAAGTGATTTATATGAAGGCAAACGCGTACGTACCTATGTGTGCATATGTGAGAAAATTTACACACAATTGCTACAATTTCTACAATGCCTACATATTTACATTCGCTGCGAAAATACCTATAAATGTATGCCTACTAGCTTCTGTGCACTAAGCCTTGCTAGAGTACCTTGCAACGCTGTCTTAACACCCACGGATATGAATATTCACACGTACTAACAAACATACAAATACACCAATGCTTTCATACATGCATTCATGCGTTTAGTTTCAAACTCATCCGCAGATGTACTGCTATGGCTGTAAGGCGTAACAAGGACTTTACACGCTATCTACTCTTAAAAGTATACATACATATTCGTACAATTGCCGGCACAGCAGCAGCTTACAGTAACATCGCTAGGAGTATATGCATAAATCTTAGCTAATACCTTTAAGTACGCGTTTAAACATTTCACAATTCCACATAGACTTGGCATTCTCAGCTCTGGTTAGGAAGAAGAGCTTAAGTCTCGAAATGTCCTAGAAAGCTATCGTAAGCTAGCGTATGGCCAATTTGTTGAAAGCTTAATGCACACTTTTGTATGTACAAATTTATGTATGAATGCTGTTTATTTATATTTCAAGCACACACACTAACACAGCTCTGAATAAGTGCAACAAACAACAATAAGTCATCTAAAATTTTGTTAGCAAACTAAAGGCATAGGTGGCTGGAGAAATATTTTAGCCAGTGAGCGTATGTGGGGGATTACCAGCTCCTCAGTTTGATTTTTGCTGTTAGTAACAAAAGCACCGACAAAGCTGCTGAGGGTGACGTTCACGCAGAGCTTTCACTGGTGTTTCTGGTAAATAAGTGTAATAAATTACCTTATTTTGGCTACAGTTACTATGTATACGTATTTAATCGCATCTATATGCATGCATGCGTAAATAAGTAGGGTATTATTTATACCTAGCAAG